ATACCCGATACCAGTATCGGTATCGGTGCATCCCTAATTCCAACCTCTCCACCACCATGGCTGAGACCAAAGAGCTGTAAAAGGACATCAGGGACAAGACTGTAGTTGCACAAGGCTGGAATGGACTACAAGGTGTTGGATTAGCACAAGACTACACAGGAGGAGCTCAATGACGATCTGAAGTTGGGACCACAGTCACCACGAACACCCCTGGTTATGCCAGATTCCTAGTTATTAGAGCAACCCCTAATTCTTCCTATGTTGGTTCATGGAGTTTATTCCTTTCTGCTGTTTTGCCTCCAATAAAAGGTTGGTTTCATTTTGATTGCTGCTTCCGTCTGGGGTCCTCGTTCACCATCTAACTCGACAAGTCCCTCTGCATTCATGAAATACCTGAAAACTCATCTCTGATCATTAAAAATATATATTTAGATTTTGTTTTCTACGAAAATAACCTCTTTATGCCTTGAAATGGTCTTGATGTAATTCCACATCATTACCTCATTTTGTATGCACGGATCTATGAATATGCAAATTAATTCCCACCTCACACTCCTGCCACAGCATCCACTAGAAAGCCCTGTACCACTTAAAATGTTTGCATGTTAAGCAGGAGAGGGGAAGGGGGAGGACAACACACTTATGCACATTGCTTCACTTGTACATCAGGATGTTCCTGAACACAGCATGGTGCTAAGAGAGGATAAACGAAATCATATGAGTGCATCTGAAAATTCAAAGTGCCTGAAGCAATGTCTAGGCTCTACCTATTAAAATTTACAAAAACAAAACTGTGTGTCCCTGTTTTGCTGTTCAAGTCGCACAAAGAAGCAAAAGAGACTGCGGAGCAGAGAGAAAGTAGCAGGACCGCAAATGACAGCAATACTCACACTTAGCTTAAATAGAATCAACACACAGGTAATTATCAGGCAGTTAATCACATGTTGATAATATAGGATAAAACCTGTTCCAAATTACTAAACAATGTTAAAAAATAATATTCATTGGTGAGGGTCTTAAAGGAAACAGTCAAATGGAGTGCCCCACCTTGTCTTCTTAATCTTTCTCCATAGAGTTAAGATAAAATGATGCAACTTCAGTGGCAAAAGAGACATGCTTACTTTCTTCAAATTGTTTATGTCTTTATTGTAACATTTCTGGGTTAAACGGCTTTCAGGAGGCTGACTATTAAAAGGTTATGATGAAATCTTTGCTCTCTATCATTAAGCCTTAGCTATAGTGTCAAGAAACAAATCAGTAACTCAGTGTAACAGTCTACCATGCAGCCTTCTCATTATTTGGCTTGAAAACAAGAGCCTTTGTAGATGAGGCATCACTGGATCAAAAACAGATCCCTCCTGTACTAGTGAGAGAAAAGGTTGCCCAAATAACTGAATTCAAAACTGGATGCGCTCTTCAAAAGGCTGAAGTTTAGCAGTCACTGAGTCATCATCAAGTCAACCACTTCATGCAGATGCATCTGGTACGGTTCATGATGCACGGAAGAAAAGCACTCCTGTGGTAATCACAGGATGTGAGAACATATTAGTTGTGATCCCACTTATCCCTTATTATGTGAGCGAGCACTCTGGAACAAAAAAAAGCGTTTAATTCAAGAAATCTGTTTCTTTCATTGCAAAAAAAAAAAAAACTGTTTAGAAAAAAATTATTAAGTCCTCAAAGATATTTGTGGTGCAGAGTCGCTTACAGGAATGCAAAAGACACTGGATATTTTAGCTAAACTCGTTTAAATAGGTTATACGTGTGGTTGCTTAACCTTTGACCAAAAAGCCCATCAGCTTCTATTTAACATTTGAATCAGAATTGAAGAAATTCCCTTAAGAAAAATGATGATCATAAGAATAAAAAGTACTGGTAGAAAGTGTGCATGTATGAAGTGCACATAAACATAGAGGCTGATGTAGTCATGCCTCATTCGTTTCATGAATCTTTTGAAGCCCACTCACTCACCACGACCTTCTCCTGCTTAAAACACATAGATGTATTAAATAAAACAGTAAGGCAGAGTAAGACGTAACCTGATTTAACAGGATTTCTGCTGTGGTCAAAAAGACCAGATCTGACCCACAGCCCGTGTAATGAAATCCTGCAAAAGTCTGTCATTGTGTTACAGAGGTAGTACATTAGACTCTCCTTCAAAACGCAGACTGCCAGTTAAACCTGGCACATCTCACCAGCGATGCTTCCAGTGAAATGGCAGCAATGCTGCTGGCGTACAGACTTTCTCCAAGTGCGATTCTGCACCGACCTCGATAATTATTAGAAATTCGTGTGAAGTTTACAAGTTTAGGTCAGTGACAGCACAGGGAAGTACATCAACACCGATTTAATTTGTGCTTAAGCACATGCAAAAAGTATACAATGCATAATTAGCCTATTAATGCGCAAGTCTGATACTATAGCCATTAATTTATGTGATAGTGAAGCGCTTTTACAAAAGAAATGAGGCTAGACTGACAATAAATAAATAAATACATAAAATGCATGAGTCATGGTCCAGGTCAAACTCACCTGAGCGCATCTTATTACCCGATAAATTGGCTGACAAGGACTAAATGCTAAATATAAAATGTTTGCTTTCATAGATCACGGATTTAACAACTAAGAACTTCAAGCAGTTTCCTACCGTTTAACTGGTTGTAGACCACATCCTCCAGCCTCTCCAGCCTCTGGAGAATTGACTGCCTGTCCACCAAGTTGGAAACTTTGCCATTTCTGGCTCGCAGCCTCTGGTCAGAAATACGCCCTATCTGGATGAGCTCCTCGGATCGGTCCTGGATCCTGCAGTACACCGAGAACAGTATAATCCCCACAAACACTAAGATGTTGACGGTCAGCAAAGTTTTGATTTTGCGTGCCACAGCCATGAAAGGAGAATATTGTCTGGCTGACTCAGTCAAGCCCGGCAAAAGCTCATGAGCGGTGGCCTCCTTTGTCACCTTACAGTGTGCCTTGCGGCGGGGTGATTTCTGTGCTCGCTGGAGAGAAGGTCAACTCGTGGAGACCCGAAGGGCTGGCGGATCCGTTCAGCACCACGGACAGCTCCGTAGTGGGACACCGCACCGGTCACATAGAACTTACAAGGTGGGAAATGTTAGTAGCGTCCCCGGAGCTCGGCTCCGACCAGTGAGCGATGCTTTTATGAGCTTCACTAGTCGACAAACAGCTGCACTCGCTTCACCTACATATTACAAGCGAGAAATGACGCCACGGGAGGCATTCATCCTCCCGAGCAGCCCCCGGCAGTTGCAAAACATCTCTCCTCCGCAACGTGGTAATTCGCCAGTTCCTTAGCATCAATATGTCTCGTCCATCGCGCAAGAAAAGCCCTGGTTTTGAAGCGTCACACAGCTCTCGCCGCTCTGTGGCATCTCCTTCCTCAAAGGCGTTGTGCTCACCCGATCCGTCCCGCTCTGCAAATATGAATCCAAACGCGCTTATGTCCAACAAATAAATAAATATATATATGCGCGCGTGTGTGTATGCGCGCGTTTCAAAAACAAAGCGGCGTTTCTCTTTCTCCCCTCTCCCTTTTCCTCTCTCTCTCTCTGCCTCCGAGTCTCTTTCTGTGTTTGCGTCCCGTCAGACCATCGCCGCCTCCCTTGGCGCTGCACCGTGGGATGAGTTGAGAGCAGATTTGCCCTCAAATGCAGTCAAACGACGCTCGATGTCGATGGGAGCGATGCAGCCGGGCTCTGGCATGCTGTCGCTCCTCTCTCAGCCTCCCCGCTCTGTCAGGGAGGAAGAGCCACCGCTGCGTCCTGACGTTTAGAGGCACACAATCATGAATATTCACAAGCAGTGTTGTGTCGGAATAAAATAAATAGCGCGACCATGGAAGCAGCGTGTACTTCCACTTGGTAGAGCAATCTACACCACCCCACCCCCTGTACAGGTGAGCTGTGGAAATCTGTGTGAAGATGTGTTAAATGGTTTTTCTATGTTATTCACAAGGTTAACCAATTCGCACATATGTTTCAGGTTGCATGCATGCACTCCTATACATACACGCTCTGCTTCAGAAGTAGGCTATAAGGATCATTTCACAAATCACATGCTTGACTACAGCTTTAACGCCAAGCTAAACAGAATAAATATGTCTATATTTGAATTAGAAAGGCATGTAACATTTGTTTATTATAATACAAATCCACTCTCAGGAGAGAATTTGAGGTTTTGCCAACCAAAAAAAGAAAAAACAATCAAGCAAAACCACACACTGGTGAATAAAACTCCACACTAAACCCACAGATATCGAAGGACATCTGTTTTATAGAGCCATCCAGATTCTAATCATTACTCAGTTCAAATTACTCCTACTCCATACTGTAACCTGCCATTGCCAGCTCCTCGTCTCCAATTCCAAATGAATTATGGCTCCAGTAAATCACGTACAAAGAGCTTCGGGCTCTCTGTGTACTTTTACTTGATTAGGCAAACCCAGACACGGTAGTGGCTGCCCGAAGTACTTTGATTCCACTTCACACCCACCAGAGGATCTCAGATCTGTGCTCTTCAGTTTGTTTGCTGCTTCACTACACCGAGATAGCGCCAGGGTAGCTGAAGCCTCTATAGTCTGCACATTTCTTTGTCGGAGGACATTTGGCATGAACGTGAGCTTCTAAGTTATTTTATACTTATACACATTTCTTGATGTCTTCAAGAGGGAATCGGTTCTGATTTTCTGAGAGCAGGTTTGAGGGCTTTTATTTTTAGTGTTTTCAAAGAACGAGACCTTGTCATATAAGTCTAGGCTCAAATGAGAGGTTCATTTGTTCCACAAAGCTCCTGCTTTCCAAAAACGTTTTTCTTTTTAAGAAGGTAGAATAACAAAGCTTAGGCAGGGCTCATACTGTTCCCTGTGTGGTCATGATACTGATGATGATGATGATGGTGATGCATACTTTCTATTGCCTTACAGCTCCCAGGTCTGCATAACAAGGACATTTAAAAGGATTTTCATCGTATAGAATGTATAATAAGGTGCACACAAGGTGCTGCTTTGATTCATAGTTTGCAGAAAGAGTCTTTGGGGAAATCATTGTTACAGACACCTCAGGCACCGTGCAGACCTAAGCACAGCTGCTTATACAGCAGCTACAGCGCTGTATATCAGCTCCCCGCGCTCCCCTGTAAGACTCTCTGAAGACTTGTTTTCAGCATTCAGCACCCTGCATGCCTCTGTAACTGCAGACACTGGCACTCAAGTGTTTTAACCATATTAACCTGGGTCACTGCAAGCTGCACCACAGTCATCCCACTCAGTGTCTCTGCATAAGCCACTCGAACATATTCAGAGGGAGAGAACGAGCTAGACAAAAGCGTGTGAGTCTAGTAGCGCTGTTGAGAAAGCCATAAATATCTGCTGCTTTGTGTTCGTGTGATCTGCGTTCACGGGGCTCATGAGGTGTTAACTATCGTGTAAAAACAGAAACTAATTTCAAACGTGCTACTTAATCTGCTTATCGATATACTTTCAGTCTGCTGGTAATATAAACACGTGCTTTTAAAGAATATTTTATCATCACTTAAAGGGAATTAAATATTTATGTGTTTTTATAAGACATTTATGGCACTGAAAATATCATCAGAACGTTTTATGTTCAGTTTAAATATATGCTAGCTAATAGTTTACTTGTCTACCTGTCAAAGCTAGAGCCCTTTGCCCACAGTGGACATTTGCTACAACAAGCAAAGGTGCTGTATAAAGTGTAAGGATACAAACAAGACAAGAGTGTTAACTTAAAAGAGGTTTGGGGTTTGTTCTTGCTTTTGCTTGAATCATAATTACACAACCTAATCAGCAAGCAGTTACATGTTTACACGTGTAGATATGTATTAAAATTACTTATTTAGAACAAGTATTGGTGATCTAGCCCATTCTCACTCCCGAGCCGTAACATGCCGACGTTTTGTCACGTCCCGGGGCGTTCCTGAGGAACGCAAAAGGAGACCTTCGGCGTTCTTATGGTACGCGGCGGGTTATGGCCGAAATCCAGTGCAATGACGCTCCCGCGGTAATAGACGTTCCAGCCCTGTATTCCAGCCCTAAACCTAACCTTATCCCTAGCCCTAACCATAACCTTTTTCCTGACCTTAACCATGACTTTAATTATGTTAAATAGCGTGTTTCTAAGCGATCTGAAGAAAAAGAGCGAACATGTGTAGATTGAGTCCATAGGTTCTCATATTTCCTCATTTTTCCGAGGTCGTCATTTAGGAACGTGGTGGGTAGCCGAAAACGTAATACGTTGACGATTTGTCACCTAGCGTAAAATGTTACGCTTTGGGAGTGAGAACGTGTTGGATCTAGCTACTGTAGGTCAGCGGTCTCCAACCTTTTTTGCGCCATGGACCGGTTTATGCCCGAAAATATTTTCACGGACCGGCCTTTAAGGTGTCGCAGATAAATACAACAAAATAAAACTAGTACCGGTACTGAAAAAAAGAAGATTTATTCATAACACACGTGAAAAAACCAAGGAAAACCGAGTAAACGATAAAAACGATAACAAAATAACGCTGAAAACCGATAAAAACCCTGAAAACTATACATTTCACACCTGAGCCTCAACTCTCGCGGCTCGGTACCAAACGGCTCACGGACCGGTCCGAGGCCCGGGGGTTGGGGACCGCTGCTGTAGGTGACCATGTTTATGGTTCTTTCAGGTCTATTGTGGTCTTGGAAAATACCCGGCACTTCAGCAGTTACATTTCCAGTTGCAACTTTGTTTGTGAACTTGGTGTACACTATTTTGGGCTGTCTTCCTAAAAAAATAAAGTTAGCTCATGCATCCGGAAATCAGGTAGGAGAAAAGAAGGCCACCTAAGTAATGATGCTAAAACAGTTTAAAGAGCAGTAATTTCCTGTGTGTCTATCAGCATGACTCACACCTTTCACTTGAGCTGCTGGTTGTACAAAAACGCTAACCAGAGCACCTTTAAAAAGAAAAGGAAAACACACTGCATTCCAGAAACCTCGCAGTGAACTGAGGCAAGGTTAAGCTCAGATATATTTTTGCTGAAAAGAAGATAGCAACTACTGTAAAACACAAGGCAGTAAGTGCTTTGTTGGGGGCCATTTAGTTTGCTACACTCCAGTGACTTTAGCACATTAGGCATTCTTGTCAGTTGAAGCTGCTCCTCTGTGTTTGGTTCACTAGAGGCCAGGCAAAGAGAATGTGTTCAGACAAGATGCTACAAAGCAAGGACAGCTGGAAGTCAACACATCACACATGTCCACGGCAGAGGCAAACATCACAGTTACTTCTTGTCAGTTTTCACTGTGCTAATGTGTTGCTGCCATTCTAACAGTATGCAAAACGGATTCTTGACAGAATTCAATGAACCACAAACCTTTTTTTTGGATTTCTTTACAAATAAAGTAGTTTGTATTCAGCGTAATACAAGCTCAAAATTGCTAGTCAGAATTAGCAAGCGCTGAGCACAAAATAAAATATGCAGCATTTTAAAAAGTAAACTGTTAAGGCTAATTTAATTCAAAACTTTCTCCCTAAAAATGCAAATGTGCTTCCCTAAGAGAAAAGAAAATCTGTTTTCATTTCCTATTCGCGGTGGTTAGTATGCATAATGTTTTGGCAAAGGCACAAACAAATCAACCACTGTGCAAAGGCATTAAAAGTAACAAATCTGATACATGAACATGAGTAATTTTACGGCATGGCAAGTAATCCACATTTGTCCCTGACTGGCTGGCACACAAACTTGCCGTGTCACTTTCAGAGTAAAGCGCCCACTCTGAGACACTCGTTGGTCACTAATGTAGTGCTGTCTGCTGGCCTGCTGGAGCTAAGTTCATACATTATCACTTTGACCCCGAGGCTAACAGCTAAGCCCCAGTTCTGTCTGCCTTAACTTAGCTCATTCACATTCCACCTCCAGCAACCTCTCCCTACTGTGGTGCTACGGGAGCTGTTGATTTGCCTAATGCCTTAACTAAATTAGAATGATAACCCTGCGGACTGGAATATGTGATGTTCAGCTCGAGGCAAGTTTTTACGTGTTTTTTTGTACAACAGACACGAGGCAACACTGGGGGCTGCCAGCCGAATGTTTATCAGAGCCCGGGGCCTCATTAAGACACAATGTGCTCCTTGACCTTGGCAGCCAGCTATGGCTTTACCATAATGCGCCATTCAGCGGCATCCCAATTGCAAATGCAAAGTGCCTTTTTTTTCCAAGTGGAGACGTGGCAAATCTTGACCCTGTGAATAACATAAAGAAAGAAGCAGATGTCGCCTCTGCACGCATGCTTTTGAGTAAAACAGAAGCAGCAATTATCAGTATCAGACTGCTAAGACGCTCAGCTGGAGATCGTGCATATCCAAATGTCAAAACTAATGATTAGATTTATCAATATGAGCATAAGCTTGGCTTCTCAATGTTTTTGTATTAATGGAGCAGATACTCTGGAGACGCCCCCAAATGTTTCTTGATTTATGGCAGAAGCAATTACATCGCGCCAGTGTACCGATGCTTGATGGGCGAATCGGTGCAGG